CGGACGTAACGTAACGGCTCCACGGATTGGTCCATTTGTACCAATGGGTCCATTTGGGTATGGGCACGTCACTGTACCCAGGAAGAAAAAGAGAAATTTCCGAAATCTCCAACGAGGCGTTCTAGGGCAGCATAGACAGGTCTTTTCTGTGTTAGAGTTTTACTCGCTACAGGTTGTACTTTGAGGGTTTGTGACTTTGCAGACCATTTACATGCATAAAAACCTTCATAACACACAAGGGGACGGGTAATAACCGGAAAAGCATGACATGGGACCTTTAAGTCAGTCAGGGTCTATCTTTTCTGTCCTTGTGAAAACGGCAGCTAAATGAAATGCTTGTTACTAAGTTGTTGGTTCTCTGTTATGATTATATAAAGCAACGAGAATAAAAGCTCTGGTTATCTCTACACATACACCCGATCCCTGATCAGGTCAACCACTAATCGATCGGTGTGTGTAAGATCACAAACGTTGCATCACTTTTAGTTCGTAAACACAAATAATTTGTGTTATCTTAACGATAGCTCAACCCAATATTGACCTACCTGCAAATATGCCATGTGTTGTGAATAGTAATAAATGCCATGTCCATTCAGAAAGTACTTTAACATGTTAGACATATCTACAGTACACAATCGCAATCTGAATTGAGAAGTAGAACATTTTCAAAAACACATGTCAGAGAAATTACTTTTGGCTGCTGTGTGTGAGTGTGTGTGTGTGTGTCTGTGTGCATACAATAATAACAAAATCCATAATTCAACACACATGGATTGGTAACTGTTGTCATGTGGTGTAAAAGGGCTTTGATTGGGTGCTAGAATAAAAAGGAGCTTTATAGTTGTAAGAGTATTCACTGATTTAGATTTTCTCCCAAAGCTTTTCCCTTCTGCTGAACCAACCATATCAAGAGAGGGCAATCTAAAAGTTATCATGTTTTTTTATTATATAAATGCTAATGCTTACGGCTGTCCCAGACACATCCATGCTGGCCAGCGTCTCAACAGCAGCATTACCACCTCTGGGTATTCAGGAGATCTGGAGCAGCACGTGGGTCACCTCGAACACGTGGTGGTGAAGGTCCTGATTGTCCACCCACGCCGAGGAGACCTGGAGATTAACCTCATCTCTCCGTCTGGGACCAGAACACAGCTGCTGGCCAAGAGGTGAGATATCTTTTGTTCATACAAAAAAGAAAATTAGACATTTTTATCAGCTGCACCAGGAGCTCTGTGAGCTTTAACTCTGAGAGAGTTATTTGAACTACGGACCACTAACACAGGGATTCCTCCTCTCACTTTCTTGGCATCCTGTGTCATTCTAACGGGCAGCTGCCAGTAACATATTGGGCTAGTGCATGTCATATTCTGATTGCGTTAAATCTGGTTTGAGCAGATACATTGATCAATAAAGTCTGAATTAAGTTTTTAAGTGTCACCAGCAGTGATGTGATCTGGTCCCAGATGGAGAGATGAGGTTGATCCAAAATTGCAATCATGTGTAAATGGTTCAGTGTAAAGTGCTCTGAATGGGTAATTCAGCCCATGATCTTTACCTCACCTTTCCCACTGTTATGTTCACAGGTTGTATGACAGTTCCAAAGAGGGCTTCAGGAACTGGGAGTTCATGACAGTTCATTTCTGGGGTGAGAGGGCAGAGGGCACATGGACTCTAGAGATTGTTGACTCACCATCAAAGCTACGCAACCCTGAGGTGCTGGGTAAGGTCCAGGATAAGAGTCCTCAGGCATCACATTTACAATTAAAATGGAAGCAGATGTCCTTGTACAAAGTAACCTGAATACAAATATTATTTTCTTTGTTACTTGGCACAGGCAACCTAAAAGAGTGGACACTAATCCTGTTTGGCACATCTCAGAACCCTTCCCAGCACCCCGCTGCTCAGTACTCACATTCAAGGATGTCAGAGAACCCAGCTACAGTGGAGATCCTGGAAGAACCAGAGATGGAGGAAGAAGACGAGTACGTTGGTAAGAGAATCAAATAATTCAACATTGTTCAACAACTTTCCATATAACTAAAATACTATTGTTATGTGCCAAGACAAACAAGAGGACGAACGAATCAGTAACTCACTGTCTGCCCGGACAAGCGTCCATATGTTACTTTACTTAATTATCTTGTGGAAAAGGGGAGTAACAAGAGATTAAAAACCCCAGAGACAAAAAGAAAGAGACAAAACTGATTTGTAAAAACAAAATATGCTGTTTTCATAGTGCTAAAATAAAAGGGCTCCCTGGCCAATTCAAAAACAAACTAAAGATTTACTTTCCTGAAAACAGAAAGCGGTACTACTATAATCATATAAATGAAAGAAATACAACAAGTTACTCCTGGGAACATCACCTAACACATTAAAAACACAAGTCTCAAACAGAAATACACACATAAGCTATTTTCAAGATTCAAGGCTTTATTGTCCTTTGCACAGTAGCTACAGTGTACATATGGCAGTGAAAACAACTTAAGTGACCTCCAACAGTGCAACATGAACTGATAATGATGATAATGAGGATCGGTTTGTTGATTATAATTCATGTTGTGTTTAAGGACCTTGCCACAGTGAGTGTAGAGACCAGGGCTGTGACGGACCCGATATTGATCACTGCCTCAACTGTGTCCACTTCAGCTCCGGCAGCTTGAAAAGTGGCAGGTAAGAGTTCAAAGAAACTCTACATTTGCAAATCTGCCTAGCTCCAAAGAAAGGACAGAACGTCTGGGAATAGCTGGTGAACAGTGATAGCTGGTGACCCAGACAGTGTCTAAAGGAGATTGTAAGGTTGTCCGTAGCTGGCCAGAAACACAACTTAAATAAATTATAATGTTGGTCAATTTGTGCTGGATAGACGGTGTTTGCTAGCACGCTTGCCATAAGAACTTAATAGTATACAGTATATACAGTTTCTGTTAGCATATATGCTAAAATAATCATTAATAGAACTGCCATCAATGCAGCAGTAGCAGGGTTGTGTTCAGGGAGTGGTCTGGGGTAGATCCATCCATCCATCTATCTTCTCCCGCTCATCCGTGGTCAGGTCGCGGAGGTAGCAGTTCCAGCAGAGAGCCCCAAACGTTCCTTTCCCTGGCCACATCAACCAGCTCTGACTGGGGGATCTCAAGGCGCTCCCAGGCCAACGAAGAGATATAATCCCTCCACCTGGTCCTAGGTCTGCCCCTCGGTCTCCTCCCAGCTGGACGTGCCTGGAACACCTCTCTAGGGAGGCGCCCAGGTGGCATCCTAACTAGGTGCCCGAACCACCTCAACTGGCTCCTTTCGACACGAAGGAGGAGCGGTTCTACTCCGAGTCCCTCCCGGATGACCGAACTTCTCACCTTATCCCTAAGGGAGACACCAACCACCCTGCGGAGAAAACCCATCTCGGCCGCTTGTATCCGCGATCTCGTTCTCTCGGTCATGACCCATCCTTCATGACCACAGGTGAGGTTAGGAACGAAAATGGCCCGGTAGACTGAGAGCTTTGCCTTCTGGC